TTGGGATTACAGGGGTGAGCCACTGCACCTGGCCATTTCTAAAGGCTTTCTTACTGTCTCTCCTCCACCTCTTTCATCCAGCCTCATATTCAGCTGTGCCACCACTCCCTACACAAATTTTCTGTTTTAATCCAGGCAGGCTCCTGCAATCCTAGTCCCACAGATCCCAGCCTCTGTGTCCACCTCCCATTTTTTCTATCTTTCTAATAGCCCCCAACCCAGTCTTCAAGCTCCTCCCTCTTCTCCAAGTTTCCAACCATCTCAGCTCTCTCTCCAGCCACTGAATTCCTTTGAGGCAACATCAGCGCCATTTCTATGGGTACATGGATCCCCTTTCACTGTTAACTAGTTTCCAGGAGTAAATCCTAACCCCACACCCCTTCCTCCCATAGTAAGACCGTATGACCTTGAAGATCTTGATGGTGCTTCTTCCACTTTATATCACGGCAGGCCCGCCAGCATCCGTGGAGGAATCTTCTGTGTGCTGGAAATCTTTGTAAACAGTATTCTAACAGCCCCTGTGAGGTCAGTGGGTTCAGCCCTGTTTTAAAGATAGGGAAATTAAGGCTCTGAGCAATGTCTTGTCCAATACCACACGGCCAGTCTGCAGAGGAACTGGATTCAAACCCAGGCCTGTCTGACTCCCACGGCCACCCATCTCACCATATCATTTTGTCTACAAAGAATGTCTACATTCATTTCCTCGTGCAATCAATAACCATTTAATGACGGGGGATACACTGGGTGTCCTGACAGTTCCCACAGTTTACCAGGGACACAGAGGAGGTGCACTTAATAGCTGCTGACCCAAGTCCCCACTTCCTCTTCCTGTCCTCCAGGTCCTTCCTGCAGTTAGAGCTGCACCCCTACCATGCAAACCAGACCTCAGCTGGTTTGGTGGGGTGACCTCCCACCCCCGGTGCAGCTCTGGCCTCACAAAGGACCAGGCTTTCACCTGGAGCAGAAAAGTCAGGGCTGTGGCCAAGTCCTTCTCTCTTCCCTTGGAGTTCCTTGCCCCTCCCCAGCCTCTTTCCCATTAGGGTTCCCCTAACCTTTCCTGCTTCCTCTGAGTCTTCCTGTCTCAGGGGTGGATGAACCACCTAGGGAAAATCTCCCCCCACGCCCCTCAAACACCCCCGCTATTGTCCATTGTCTCTGCCTGAGAATGTGCAGGCTCAGACTTGGACTTCTCAGGCCTCAGTATTCCACAAACTGAAGTTTTACTGAAGTTTTACTGGAGCCCAGAGGGGTTCCAGCCCCCATCTGTCCACATCTGGAGCTTGCTAACTGTGAGAAGCTAGACAACGAGGGGACACCCCAACGCTAGTTAGAGGGGCTTGGAATCCAAGGGCAGAACAGGGAGAGAAGTTGACAAATATCGACTACGTCTCCCTTTCAGATCACTTGGGACCCTTTTTTGTTCACAGCTGTATTGAAATTTAACTCACATATCATACAATTCACCCATTTAAAGTGTTACAATTCAATGGCTTTTAGGATATTCACAGAGTTGTGCAACCCTCGCCCTAATTCTAGAATATTTCTATCACCCCAAAAAGAAACCCCACACCCCTTGGCCATCATCCCTAATCTTCCCACCCCAAACCCAGCCCTAGGTAACCACTGATCTACTTTCTGTCTTAGTGGATTTGTCTATTCTGGACATTCCATATAAATGGAATCATACAATATGTGGTCCTTGGTGACTAGCTTCTTTCACTTAACATCATGTTTTCAAGGTTCATCCATGTTGTAGCACATATCAGAATTTCATTCCTTTTTGTGGTTGAGTAATATTTCACTGTATGGATATACCCCATTTTGTTTATCCATTCATCAGTAGATAGAAATTTGGGTCGTTTCTTTTTTTTTCCTTTTTTTTTTTTTGAGACAGGATTTTGCTCTGTCACTCAGGTTGGAGTGCAGCAGTGCAATCATAGCTTACTATAGCCTCAAACTCCCGGGCTCAAGTGATCCTCCCACCTCAGCCTCTGAGTGGCTGGCTGGGACTAGAGATGCATGCCACCATGTCTGGCTCATCTTAAAATTTTTTATTTGTTTTTTTGTTTTTTTTTGAGACGGAGTCTCGCTCTGTCGCCCAGGCTGGAGTGCAGTGGCCGGATCTCAGCTCACTGCAAGCTCCGCCTCCCGGGT